TTCAAACTTGAATCCTGGTTCTCAGCCTCTGCCCACTGGCTGACTTCTGGAAAATTCAGTTTACGACCTCCTAACAGCCTGCCCAGGGAAAGCCCCACTGCCTGGCCCACCGCGTGCTGCTTTGCCTGGGCAAGACCAGCCCCAAACCACAGTGGCCTCCAAACCACAGTGCTGACCCCCTGCTCTCAGCCCCACTGCTGGGCAAGCCAAGTCAGTCCCCCAAGGCCCTGGGGGAAAGGCAAGGCTTGGGGACCTTCCCCTGTAGCCTAGAGCAGTTTCCCCATCCCCCTTTGAGGGAGCAACCAGGCGAGCAAGACTAGTGTTGAGTAAATGTGGGGGAAGTCTGTGGTGGAAGTGCTGGGCCAGACTCCCCACAGGAGGGCTATTTTAAGGCAGCTGGGACCCAGTCCAAACATTTCCATCAAAATACCTGGGGGTGGGGGTGGGAGGTTAGGGGTGTGGTGTTAGGCTTTTTAAAAAAATAATCTGATTCAGGAAGTTTCTTCAGTTCCACAAAGGGTTAAGGTTGTGCTATTGGGAGAGACCAGCCAGCCAGAAACCGGAGGCCCTGGAGGCATTTACAAAAGAATGTGCACCCCAGGCTAGGCCCTTCCTATCTCACAGGACTAAGGGCCTAGACCTAGGGACAGAGCAGGATTTGCTAGGTACCCCAGGGTAGGCAGAAAAGGGCAGTGTTCTGAAGCCTAGTTAGGGAGGAAGGGGCTAACTCCATTGTTCTCACCTAAAATCCCAATCTTGCTTCACAGGCCTCCTAGCACCTCCTCTTCCACTCCCGCTGAAGGAGGGGCCATCTCTGAGTCAGGGCCAGTTGGGTAGCCAGGCCTGGAGACCTCAGCCCTGTCCAGGGTCCTGACTGGTCAAGCACTTGCTGCAGCCCTGGGGCATACCTTTGACAACCTTGGGTCTCAACTGTGTCCACTACCAGTGCCAGATGAAGCATCCCTCAGGTGCCCTTGCTGGTCAGTGTCCATGCTGAAAGATGAGGAGATGCAGGGCAGCAAGAGTCCAGAGCTCTCCAGTCTGGCCTTGGGGAAGGACCTTTCAGCAAGCCTCCCTGCTGGGGACCATGAAAGACAGCCATCCACAGGCTTTTCTTCCATCAGGGCTCTGAAGCACCTGGGCCCAGCAGACCCCTACCTGCCCTTAGAAAGAGCAGGGAAGGTGCTCCATGAGGAGACCAAATGGAATTTTGAGTTTTGCCAAGTCTTACTCTTAGCTCCACCCTTAGGAGCTGAATCCTTTGGAAACTCCCACTGCTGGTTTCTCCTCTACTTGGAATATATGTCAGACCTGGCTTAACCTTCTCATTCAGAGGCCAAGGAAATCCTGGCGGTTGCTCTCCAGCCTGCTGTGGGAGGACACGTGGGTCCTTGGCTGCCATTCAAGGAAGGGAGGACTTCCTCCACCCCACAAGGGCTCTGGACTTCAGCGGAATTGGGTCTCCCAGGCAGGCCATGGAGGAGCCATCTGCAGAGCCTGGGCTTGGGCCTGGGGCCTCCTCCACCCAGTCCCCAGCAGGGCTCTAGCATGGGTGACTATTTTTAGGTACAAAGCTCTGCATTGGAAAACCCAAGAGGCAGGGGAATTTTCTACCCCATGCAAATCGCTTTCTTCTCAGCTTCTGCTGACACACCTGTTTCCTCCCAGCCAAGCCAGACCAGAACAGATTACAACAGATCTAGACAGGGTGTAGATGATGGAGGCGGCCCCTCCCCCAGCTGGTGCCTGGAGAGAGTGGGAGAGGAGTGTGATGGCAGGAGCTCCAGATAGAACTTCCCTGCCCCACCCCCACCAGCAAGCGCCTGTTGTCTAAAAAAAAAAAAAACCTAGGCAAGAAAACTCAGAAAGGCAGTTCCTGCTTCATCAGTTCAACCATAGCAACTGCAGAATCCCCTGAGTGAGCTCAGGACAAGGGCCGGGCATGCAGAGCCCACCAGAGCCCACCAGGGCCTTGCCTGCCTCTTGCTTCCCCAGCTGTCCCAGCGGTAAAGCCACAAGCTGTGGCCAAGTCACCTTCTGGAAAGCCCCCACTTTCCGTATGGAGTGCTGCTGGGGATGCTCTTTGCATTTTCCAATCCAGCTTTGCACTAAGGCAGCTGGGAGGCAGCAGATGATAACACAAGTACTTGGGTTCCTGCCTCACACAGGAGACCCTGATAAAGAGTTCCTGCCTCCTGGCTATTGCAGAATGAACCATCAGATAGAAGATTGTCCTGTCTTTCCTCATCACTGCCTCTCAAATACATAAATCCTTAAAAACAAAAGGAGGAGTATCCAGCCCAATACCTGACTGTTTAAGCAGGAAAACCCAGCTCAGAGCCTATATCCTCCAAAGTTCACCAACCCTTCTGTGCCCAGAGCCAGGAATGCCCAGTGGCACTGACAATCAAGATCTGAGAAGGGGCAAGATAGCCCTAGGGTATCAGCTTCCCAAGATAGTAATCAGGGTCCTGAGGTTCATTCATCTATCTGCCCACGCCAGTACCCTCCACCTGCTCTCACAAACACTCTGGGTCAAAGCAAGGCAGGCTGAAATGCCCATACACGACAAGCAGGCACAATCAGACATTCACCACTGTCACAAAGGCTCTGAGGACTCCATCCTCTTGACCCAGGGAATGCTGACAGCCTTAGCTCCAGGATACCCCAAATCCGACTGCCCTTAGTCCATAGCCACCGGCCAGCTCTGTGCGTGGTCACCCACCCCTTGCTCAAGCTTCTGTGGGACCTTTCACCAAGATATCAAACCAAACCACTGCCCTGGAACAAGCACAATAAAATTTGTCCCCTTCTACAGCTTTTAGGAACATCTGCATAGCAAACCCCTGCAGGGTTTAGAAAAACCAGCCCTGCAGGCCCGATCCATCCTGCAGATTCCTCAGCCTACCTCTACACTAACCATGCATGAGGCCAGGACCCTCCTGTCTACACTCTCTTGACCCATGGCTCTCCACAAACCTCCCACCCTAGCTTCCTCTTTCCTGTGGGAAGCTTGGCGAAACCAACCTCGGAGGGTTTCTTCTCGTTCTGCCGGGGCCAGCCGGCCTTGGAGCTGCTGGGCAGTTTGGAGCATCTTGATGCTGACGTGGATGTTGCGTGACCTGCAGGAGAGAAGAGCCCTTTAGGGGCCCTGGAAGCCAGGAACAAAAGCCACCCTCACCTGAGGTTGAGCAGCCTGCAATTAAAGCTCCCCATTCAAGGGTTCAGGGAGAGAGGGCTTGGGGAGCACCTGGTAGACTGGCCCTGCCTCAGTTTCAGTCTCTCCATGGGTGGAGACAGAAGCCACCTTCGCTCAACAACCAGCAAACAAAGGCAGCCAATCCCACCCTTAGTGCTGACCTACCATGTGACCCCACACAAATCCTTGGTGCTCTCTGGGCCTCTCTTCCTCTGTGGCCCTGGAGAGTCACCAAAGAAGCCTTCCATGCCCTCTCCCCAACCTGCCTCAGGTCAGCTACTCACAGTCCACCCTGGGTTAACCAATGGGCAGAGTGTGCAGGAGCAGGACAGGACAGGGCCAGATACAGCTCTGAAGAGGACTATGACCAAGGCACTTACTAGCTTATCATTCCAGGCAAACAAGGCATCTTGCATAGCCTCAGTCTGCCCTAACAGAGCAAAGGAATAGCTAGCTCTCCAAAAATACCCACTTGTAAAGTCGAAGCACAGTCTGCAGCACATGGTGCTGCCTCGATAAGTACCAGCTGTTAGGACCAGGATCTGAGGCCCTGGCTGGACTCCAAGGTTGTGGGCTCCAGGCCCATGAGTCACAGGAGCAACAAGGAGTACCATGGTCAATCCTGAGGCTTTGGCACCATGGGTGGGCCTGGCCCAGGCCTGATACAACATTAGGGCATGGCAGCCCATGAAAGCACCCCTGCAGGTGCCTTGCCTTCTTCAAGGAGTCCTTGGCCTGCATCACAGTGAGAAGCAGAGTATGGTTCTGGGTTCCTTGGAGCCAAGCCAGAAGGCCATGGGTTGCAGACCCAGAAGGCCGGACACTAGATCTCCTGTTGCAGGGAGGGCATGTTGTCCAGGAGGGCCAGAGCTGCACAGGTACCCACTGTCCAAAGCACAGCAGGGATGACCCAGAGGGAGGCCAGGGCCAGGGCCTGACCAGCTGCCCTAGGGCATTTTCTGCTTTGGTTCCTGGGAGGCAGGAGAAGCCTCAGAGATCTGTCAGCCCTGCTTGTTCACCACGTGTGTGGACATGTAGGTCTAGTGGTGCAGGCTCTTCCTTAGCCTGGATGCCCACAGGGCAACCACCACTAGGAGAGACCTTCCCTGACCTATCCTCTCTACCCACAGCCGATGAACTCCTTATTCCAACAGGCATGGGCAAGCCTGGCTTGCCAGGGCATCCGGGAAGAACCTCATGACCTCATTCCAAAGAGGAGCCCTGGCCTCCCTTAGCATCTCCAGATCTCAGAGGCAGCTGTCTGAACCGCATCTTTTCTCCAACTGCAATACAACAGCAGACCTGCCCCCAACACATCCAGCCAACGCGCAGGTCTCCTGCCAAGACGCCAGAGGGCTCAGGCTTCATGGACTTGCTCAGTCATTGTTCACCAAGCACTGACTGGGGACCAGCAACACACACAGGAGACCCAGCCCTGTTAGCAGGGAGCTCATCCATGTTCAAGAAATGACACACATTGGCTAGTTTGAGAGCAATAGGTGCTGCACCTGCAGGGCAGACTTCCTATAAGCAGGAAAGGATTGCTTGTTCTGGACAGCAAAAAGCTTAGGTGTCCAACCATGGCAACAAGCTGGAATGGAGGAGGGGACAGACAGCAAGGCCTTGGAGGCCATGATCAGCTGCAGGACCATTCTCAGCAGCAGCAGTGCACCCAACAGTACAGCCCCAGATGGTGTGGAACCCACGTGGAATGGCATTCCCACAAACCAGGGCCCAGCTATGGTCCTGATTATTACTTAAAATGCTTTCCCAGGAGGAGCCACGAATTGGAAGGCCTTACTGTCAGTAGTGTCGGAGTTGTCGCTGCTGATGGAGTATTTTCGCCTCTTCTCTTCCATCTGCAATAGAAGGCAGGCCTATTACACTTATGGACAGCCTGGAAAACCCCGAGCCTCCCAGACAAACCTCCCAGAACCTCTGGCCCCACACTCAATCCGGTGCACCTGGCCTGCTTCTCTGCCAGCAGGACCCTCTTCCCACCTACCCAAGCCTTCCAGGGTTGGGCAGGCTCACAGGGGGCTGCCACCCACATGAGATGCGAAAGTGCTGGCCAAGTGGCTTCCTCAGGGTAAGAGATGGGGTAGAGGGAAACCAGACAATGGTACAAGCTGCGGGACTCAGGCAGGAACATACTGTTGGCCCTGACTGCTAAGCATGTACTGTTGCGGAGAAAGGGGATGGGGAGGGGATTGCCCTGGGACGAGATGCAGGGACCTTGGTGGCTTCCCTTTTACAGATGAGGAGGTCAAAGCTCAGGTCAAGTGACTTGTCCAAGATGACACAGCTTATTATGTGATTCAGGAAACCATGCTTTTGACCTTCAGACTTCCCTGTCCCTTGCAACAATCCAGCTCATCCTGCCTGGCCCTGCCGGGACACCCCCTTTGTTTCAGCCATCCTGGTCACAAAACCTGCTTTCCTGGGTTCCAGCAGAGGAGGTACTTTGAAACCAGGGTCTCCTGTAGAACTGAAAGCAGGAGCAGGGGGTGTTGGGGGAGCTGAGTTCATCCCCGGATCAGGGACCTTGCGGAAGACAGACTCTCCTCAGAGAATGCACACTGACTGGATCTGTATTTTCACGTAAATCTGAATTTAAGATGTTGGCAACTGAATCCGAATTTTTGAAACACTTTGACAGGGCCAAATAAAACATATCCATGGGCCAGAATCAGCTGGTGAGAATAAATGAAAGCCATAAAGCTGTGGCTGTGCTGATCCCAGCTGTGCCTGGAGCGCCACAGAGTGTTCATCACCACAAACTCTGCAGCCTCAGGTGGGTTCAGCGGCACCCCTCCTGTCAGCGCTCAACTGGTGGGGTGGGGCTTGGGAGTAGGGCTGTAAGCCTGGACAACAAGCTAAGGCCTCAGACCAGAGTCCTTGGATGTCCACATCCCTTTCTTGAGGTTGTGTGCTATTGCTCAGGGAGCAACAGGTGACAAGGGGTGAGTGTGCAGACCATGGTGCACACAGAGCCTGTCCTCCATTGACCCTGCCCTCTACAAGACACACAGTGTCTCAGGTTACGACTCCACTGTCAGAGTGGCTACACACAGGCTGTCATTAAGGAGCAGGCTTGGTGGCTTCCTTGGAATAATCATGGTACTGCAACAGGAAGCCACTGGCTGCTGGGGAAAAGAGCCTCTTTCCTTTGAACCAAGTCTATCCCAAAGGCTTCCATACCTCACCTGGGCCCCTAGTGTCACATAGCTAATAAGCACCCCCACCAGGAGACAGCCTAATGCCCCTAACCCACTAGGTAGGGCTGTTGGTACCCACACTTCATCTTGGTCTTCCCTTCCCCCTCCAATCTCTCCAAAGCAAAGTCTGAACTGGGAAATACCTCAGCATTGTAAGGCACTGGCCAAAAAAAAAGACTCTAAGAAAGAAAGGAGCCCCTACTCCCAGCCCTGGCACCTCTCCCAGCTCACCCCCTCACAGAGACACAGACGGAAGTGTGGGCATCCTGGAGTTCCCTCCACAGCCACCCCCTATCAGGTCCAGAAGGCCCTCCCCACCCCAGTCCACCCTCCACCCCTCACCCCTGTGGCTCTACTCTCATTGGGGCAGTCCAAGCCAGTGCCAGCTTTTGCCTGGACCCCTTGTTTCTCTCTTAGGCTACAACTGCCCTCACCCCAACCCAAGCCACACAAAGCAGCCTGAGCAACCTCTTGACAAGGCAGAAATCAGTGCCCCTACTGTATGTCTTTCAAAGGCTTCCTGCTGATCAAAGCATGCATCACAAGCTCCTGACCACAAGACCCTTTGCAAACCGGCCCCTGCCTGCCCAACAAGTTTACTGTGACTGAAGGATTCCCCAACCTCACTACTTCCCAGTCACCTCAGCCCACCTCCAGGCTCTCCCTCCCCTGCTCCCCAACCCCCTGCCCTGAACATGTCTGTCCTTTGTGTCTGACTCCTTCAAGCATGGGCTTCAAGGTCACTGCTGCCATAATGCCCATCACCCTCTCCAAAGAGACCTGCCATGCTACCTTCAGAAGCTTCAGTGCAGCTGTCACAGCCTGACTTGTTGGGTGCCCTGGTCGTTGGCAGTGTCTGTTCTGCTGGGTCAGCAGTAAGGTCTCCTGTCCAGACCCCTGCCCCAGAAAGCCTAGCACAAAAGAAAGGCTGCTGGGTATCCCTTTGTCCTTTCCCCTGCGTGGACGGGTGTAGTGACCACACAGTCCAGCAGGCCTGCCTGTGGCCTGCAGGAACAAACAGCCCAGCCTAGGCCTCAGTCCTGTTTTTGCAGCCTGCTTTTCCTATGCTGACCTCCCACATTTTCCAGGAGGCTTTATTTGGTCGGGCTCCTGGCTAATGATCAATGTCAACCCAGTAATAGGGCAGCAATTTGGTGGCAGCTGTTTCTTGGCAGCACCAGCCAATGGTCTTGGTGGGGGCCTTGGGTCTGGACTTGAAATATCTACACTCAATGCCAGCCCCCTTTAAAGACCTCTCTGCAAATAAACTCAAATAAACACCCTGGGCCTCCATTAACGCCCTTCCAACTGACCCTGGGAACATTGGTTCTTTCAGATGTACTACTGCAGCCACTCTCAGGGCAGTTAAAACACCCCAACTCAGCCCCTAGTCTCTGCTTGGGGGGTGGGGAGGAAACCAGGCCTGCCCTGCCCACCACCACACACAGCAGGATTTCATCTTCCTCCTTAAGCCTGAGTGGGTGGGGGCCAAGGGGGCTTTCAAACAGGCAATTTACCATTCCAGACACAATCTTCCAAAGAGCAACAAAAAACTTGGCCTGTCTGAGGCAGCCCGTGAAGGCATGTGTGTAATAAGATGTTAATACAATTTAATGATATTTCAGCTAGAAAACCTGTCCTCAGAGCCTCCTTGTGTTGTGAAAGGCCAGACATTCAGAAAACAAGAGCTGCACACCCCTAAATCGCTTTAAACTGGGGTCAGAGCTATGTGCTCTCCTATCTCTCATTAACTTTAATGTCTTCTCAGGGACAATAATTGGAGTTACAAAAAAGAAAAAAGAAAAGATTTGGTGCACATCGATTTGTGAGCCACCACTGGGCATCCTCAGGCCTGCTACTTGGAGCTGAAATCCTCCAAAATCCATCATAGCCCACCTATCACTTGACCCAACACCCCTAGAACATACTTCCCACTCCCGCCCTCCAGATCTACAAGGGCATCTGGGGAGAATAAAGGGGACTTTGTCTACTCAGCCCATTCTTCACTTGACTGGGGGAGTTGGGGAGTAGGGGTGTTGGATAAAGGAGGGATATAAAAGCTCAATCCTACTCCACCAGGCAGAACCCTTTGGAGAAAGGAGCTGGCTCTCTGGCTCAGCCAGAAGGTCTAAGCTGTGTCAGAGGCCATTGCCAGGTCATTAATAGTAATGGAAAGGGTGGCCGGTACTAACCAAAAGCTGATTGGACATGCTTGGCTTTGGACTTTGTCTTTTTCAATACAGCAAAGAAAGTGAGGCATAAGGCCATCACCATAGCTAGTAAGTACACAGGTAGAATTCAACCCTGGGCTGTCTACCACAAAGGGCTAAAGCTCCCCAATGTGTGGGTAGATGTCTCAGATTCTCACAGCTTGTTCAGGAGGAAGCCCCCAGGACCAATTTCATTGGTCCTAAGCTTTCAGCTGAGACCTGCAGTAACAAGCGTTGCAAGCCAACACAGCAGTCAGGGACAGCCAAGGGTCCCCACCTCCATCTCTGAGCCAGCTCCCTTCCATAGCCCATCTGTAGAGGTCCTCACAGAGCTGGAACAAACCTGGCCTTGGAGCCTGTGGTCTGGGCCTGGAGCATGCGACAAGTACATCCATGACTAAAGGGAACAAAGTACCTGTTGCAGTTCAAGGACCTGAGACTCACTGTCAGAGGCCAAGCTGCACCTGGACCCTTAGGGAACAGCCAGCCCCCTCCCCCAGCGAGGGACAGCTAAGTGGAGGAGACTTGTGACAGCCTCTTGGATCTGTGCTGCAGGCTGTTTGGCCCAGCAACTGAGGGAAAGCAGAGGCATGTTGGACGGAAAACACTGCGGAAACTCTGGCTGCATCCCGAGCCCAAACAACTCTGTCCTTAAACACTTCACCTCCAGAAGTGCCCAAGAGACCCTGGGCCAAACAGTCTCAAACCCAGCGTTTGCCGGTAGTCCTGCCACCCAGGCCAGAACCTGCTTCCCTCCGCAAGGCATCTGTTGTGGAACCAAATGCGTCTCTTGCTCCGAGCAGCAGCCAGCGGCCAGCGGCGGCACTTGGGACAAGCAGGAGGGCTCCACATCAAACATGCCTTTCTTCCCTGACCATGCAAACTTTCTCAATAAATTATTTGCCCTCTTCGGATCAAAGCCTGTTTTTGCAGCCTGTGACCTAAAAAGCAAATAGCATCTCTTAAACATGAAAGCTTTCCTCTCTGCCTGGGTTAGGTTATTACTCACCCCGCCCCCTCCCCAACCTCCGGGCCAGTTATTCTGTTGTTATTTTCCTCTTCTTCCCTGTTAGAACACCCTGCGAGTCCCAACTGGCTAGAGGCTGATGGGAGCCATCATCCATAGGACCACCAGAGGAATGGGGGCATTAAGGTGAGAAAGGAAGTCGCAGTACTGGAGCAGCCAGCATCCCAGGAACCACAGTCAGATCTGACTGGCAGCTCCTTGCTGGAAGCCTTACTGGGAATCCCATAAAGTGAAGGGCGGGACTAGATGCCACTCTGGCATCTAGGTCCCAGCACTCAGTTTCAACGTTAAGGGGTGTATGTCAGGGGAGGGTTCCTCCACCAGGACTCCTCAGGTTCCAGGAAGACAAGGGAACAAGTCCCACACAGTCCCACTCCAGCCCCTCCTGCAGGGCTCAGTGTACCAACAATGACCTTCAGACGACCCCTCCCCCTCGATGTCCCACTCCATACAAACTGCTCTGGCACAAAACTTTGTGTCTTGGAACTGCGCTGGTGAGCCTGGGGTGCCAGGTGCAGGGGTGAGGCGTAGGCATCTGCAGCAACCCGGAAGGGAGGGGGTCCGACTGCAGTGGGCCCTTAGTTCACAGTAAAGGAACCGGCGCCACCCCTACCCCGCCCACAGCCCCCTGGCATGTGGCCTGTAACCAGGCTCGTTTAAAAAAAAAATAAAAGTGCCCCGGCACTGACTACCGAGATCCTAAGGGGCTGACGCACCTCCAGCCTGCCCCTGGAGGCGGACCGTGGGACTGCAGGCCGGAGGCGCGCCGGCGTGATTCCGACCGCGGGAGCCGAGAGGAGGAGCCCGGGTGGCTGCGGGGGTCTCCGGCCCAGGCGAAGGAAGAGCTAGATGTGGTTTGGGCGCGGGGCAGTGCTGGGAGGTGGGTGGGTTGAATGCCCAGGGCGGAGCAGGAGCCAGGGAGACACGGCCTGGGGCGACCAGGCCCTCAGGGAAGTGGTTGGTGGGGTGCGGTGGCCTATGTGTAGTAGGGGGACAGGATTGGGTAGGGGGGCTGGGCCTCTGGAAGCAAGAGCTTCCCTTTCTCACTGACCACCTAATCCTATGGCCGAGCAGGCTCGAATCACAGGACGGACCCACAGGATGGAAGGGGGTATCTCAGGACCCCACGGCAGGGCGGGAAGGCATTTTGGGGAACCTCAAGTCTGCACCCCGGGTGAGAAGGAGGAGGCAGGCGGGAGACGCTCCGCAGGCACAGGCGAGTGGGTGAGAAGGAGGGAGGGAGAAAGGAAGGAGGTGAGGCCGGGAAGATGCCACTGCCGGGGGCGGGGCGCGGCCCGGGATCCGGTTGAGGGACTGCAGCATTGCTTAATGGGGGCGGGGGCTACGATGTCACTCACGGGGTAGTAGGGGGGGAGTGGGTCAGGTGTGCAAGTCTCAGGCAGGATTCACCACTTGCCTGCATCTTCCCGGTACCAGCCAGAAAGCAGGGGCGGAAGCGGAGGGCCAGGGAAGAGGATGGGGGTGGTGGTGGCTGCGTAGCCATCCCCAGAGTGGGACTTGAACCAGCAGAGTTGGGAGAAGGTAAACAAGGGCCACGCCCCCTGCCGTCGCCCCGCGGGCGCGCACCCGCGCTCTGGCCGCTGCCGGTACATTTCCACTCTCCCAGTGCCTCTCCCCGCCGGACTCCCCCGCGGGCCCAGAATGGGGCGGTTGAGAGACCCCCGTTCTGCAACCCTGGCGACAGAGCTGCGCAGCCTTCTCACTCACCTGTAAAGGGTATCCCCCGCCTCTCCAAAAAAAAAAAAAAAAAAAAAAGCCAACTGTGTCTTCATTTGTGCAGCGCTTCCAAACCCCAGAGACGAGCATGCTGCCCCCGCGTGCAGCGCCCGCGTGCATCCAGCCCAGGGGAGAGGGGCCAAGAGGGTGGAGGTGGTGGTCCCCCCATCCCCACTCCCAGGTGTTGAGACTGGACTGGCTGCACGTGAGCCTAGCGTGGGGTCATGTGCACCAGCTCAGCCTCTGGTTCGGAGCCCGGTCGTGCTGCGTATCAACAAAATGAAACTCGGGGCAACCAGGAGGGCAGACAGCTCCGGGTTCTACAAGACCCCCACCCCACGGCCACTCGACCTCCCTTCCCCGTGCCCTTCTCGCACCGGGAGCCCCCTCTGCCCGGCCGGAGCCCAGCGAGACAAGTTAACAGCCTTAGCGCGCCCCCGCCCGCCAGCCCATGCCCCCCACGCCGGCCCGGGGGCTCTTTGCCGCAGTCATTAATAAAAGAGGTCGCCAGGCTCACCCTTCCAAAAGTTGTGGTTGCATGCGCCTTCTCGGCCTCCTCGCACCGCACTCTTTTAAAACACGACTGACCAACATGCGCAATCTCTCTCCCCTATGCTGTGAATCGCTCCCCCCCCACCCCACCCCCCGCGCTGGCTTCCTAGAACAGGCAGCCAGGAGAGAGAGCGAGCGAGCGAGCAAGAGGAGAGGGAGCAAGGAGGTCTGATAGATGTGTTGCAAAAACACAAAATAACGACGTGAAGATGCGCAGGGCCCATCCGCTAGGGGGGCTGGATCTTACCTTGCTCCGCGGTGGCCACCCGAGGGGTGCTGCCCCCGGCTACGCGCCGCAGCGGGGGAACTGGTGCGGGAAGGATGCTCCCCAAACCAGGAGCTCCTGGGGCCAGCGCGGGAGGGCGGGGGGCGCGCATCCATCCGGGGTCAGTCGTGGCGAAGGAGGCGGCCGGGCCCGCGGTATCCCGGCCCTGTTGCCCCTGCCGGGACCAGTAGCCCGCCGGTGCCCCTAGGAATGGGCACAAAGTAACTCCATGGACGCTACTCACCCTACCTCTTAAAAAAAATAGGCTCCAACTGCGATGGCCGCGGTCGGCACCATTCACCAACCCCCCTGTGTGTTTCTGTTTCTTTTTAAACCAAGACTTCCTTGTGATCTCTTTAGAAAAAAAAAATGTGTTGGGGGTGGGGGTGGGGTGGGGGCGGGCTGGAGGCGCAAGAGAGGGGGAGTAGCTACTTTTTTCTTATTCACTAGGATCTCCGCTTCCAACACCCCCCAATCGCCGCCGCCCACCCCCCCCCGTCTCCTCCTCCCCCCAATTGCTGGGCCTCTAGGCGGGTTCAGGTAGCGTGGTGGGGGCCCTGGGGTGGGGAAGGGGGAAGGGGAGGCCCCCCGCTGGCCGGCTGCACCCTCAGCCCGGGCTCCCCATGGACTCCGGGGCGCCCCCAGCCCGCCCTGTCCCCAGGGCCAGGCCCCAGCGGCTGCTGCGCCCGTGCAAGTCCCATCAGGTCTGCTCACACTTCGCACACTCACGCGCGTTCCCCGCCCCTCCACTCTCTCGCTCACACTTTCTGTTCACACCCCGCCCCCTTCGCAACCCAGACCCGGGCAGCGCCCCCCGCAACACGGAAAAAAAAAAAAGCAAGCTTATACTTAAAAAATCTTTTGGCGCCATATTAATGACGTACTTAAAATTTGCCATTTCTCCCTGCGTCAAAAAGACGTTTCTTTGCAAATAACAGCCTGGAGGCGACACTCGCGGACAGAACGTGGTTTGCACAGTACCCCGCCCCTCAGGGGCTCCGGTGTTGGGAGACCCTAGCCCTCCACCCGGTTTCGGAATTGCTGGTTTTAAAATGCGAATCGCAGAAATCGTGTGGCGGTTTTTGCAGCGCCAGAAGTGAACAGAAAGTGCTGGCAAGGGACTGAGGGTAGGGGCGCGCAAGAGTCTGGGGGAGGGGGCGCGGCCCTCCGCCCCCATCCACACCGACTGCAAATGAATGGGGGGGAGAGAGGCTTGAAATTGTGAGCAACATTCAGGGGAGAGGGGCGGTCCATGCAGAGGGTCCCTCTCGGGCTTGTCGCCCCCTCCCCCTTCTCGGGTGCCTCCTGGCGCCCGGCTTGCTCCGCATTTCCGGGGGGTGGGGAACGCGGTGTTGGCTGGGTGGCTGGGTGGCTGCTCGGCTGCTCCTCTGAACCCTGCAGGAGTTTCCCTAGGGGCAAAGCCCCCTCCCTGCTCGTTCCTGCCATTTCCCCCCACAAAGGGTTAACAACCGAGGGGGCAACTTCCACGAGCTGGCACTGGGGCAAGGAACCGGGGTGCCCCTCTCCCCACCCTGGACCGCCTCGCCCCTCCTCCTCCGGCTCCACTTCCCGACTTGACCTTGTGGTGCACAAACAGTGCGCTCGGATCCTCGCAGTTTCTGGAAGAGGAGCCTCTGCTCGCCAGGCGGGCTGCTCGCTGGCTTTTGGGCTGCTTCCCGGAGCCCGTGGGGCCACACCCACCCAGCCGGCTGCGCCCGTGGTGCTCACCTTTCTCTCGAGGAAGGAGAAGGGCTGGCCTCCTGGGTGGGGAGGGGCGGGGGGGGGGGGGAGACAAGCTCGTGGCTCCTCCGAATGCCCGCGGCTAGGGAGTCCAGGGTCTGGCCTTGGAGTGGAGGCTGCTGGGGGCAACGAAGAAGCCTTCCAAGCATCTTTGCCAACTCCCCCCGCTGCCCCTTCCCCCCCCCACTTGGCTGGCCCTCAAAGGTGAGCCAATAATTCCTTTCACTCACCTTCGGCTCTGGCGGCACGTGGGTGAGTTGTGCACCAGGCTGGGAGTTGCCCGCCCCCCCCCCAAGACTGAAGGGTGTTTATTCTTCTTCCTCATGCCCCCCAGCCCCTTCCTTGGAAAGATAAATATTCAATTTACATAAGATGACATTTATGTGACAATTAAGAAGATTCCCCAATGGAATGTTGTGAACACATTTGCTTATAGTAGAAATAAATCTAATAATAAACAAACTCATAATAACAGCACAAATCCTCTGACAGGGTGATTGTCTGCACAACAAAGAGGGGGATGATGGATGCTGAAATAAGCACTTTTTACGACAGGAAAGAAATGGGAACGCAAAGAGACTGCCTTGGCCTTCATTCACAAAGTCTGGAGAAGTTGGGGGACTGGTTTTACTCCCAGTTAGACCTGGCTCTGGCTCTCTGGCCAGCGAGTAGGATCCTTGCAGGCCAGGCTCAGTGCCTGGAACAGGTGTTGCAGGCTGGGTACGGGTAGCACTACAGTTTGCTACCTGGATTCTAACCCCAACTTTGCAGCTGGGAAGCTGTGGGGTGTCAGACGACTGACTTTCTCTCTCCAGTCTCTCCTCTTCTGTAGGATGAAGGATGAGTTAGAGGGTTCCTGAGGTCAGATGTGTGTCTGCATGTGCACACGCATGCACACACAGACATAAACATGTCCAGGTGCATGTTCACCAAGCCAAAGCCAAGCCTGCCCCAGGTTGGGCAGTGGGGTGGTACACCATGAACTTCAGTACTGCCCCATGCCTGCTGGTTTGATTTTCAGTTCTGAGGGGTGACAACACTCTGCAAAAGCTCTCAGCGGAGGAAGCCAAGTCCAAGTGGACTTGATGGTCATGGTACAGTCTCAGCCATATGGGTAGAGTACACGTGGCGGTGGCATTGGCAGAGGCGCAATTTAAGAGAGCGGTTCTGATTGGGTCTATTGGCAGTGTGTTTACATAGAGAAGGGGGCAAGACAAACTCCTCCTAATAGCTGGCAGGGCTCTATCAATGGGAATGAGAAAAAGCCTTGGCAAGCAGCTAGGAAAAGATCAGAGAGACCCAAGAGGAAGGTGTGCTCATTTCAAGATTGGCTTTTGGCTTTAGCCTGGCCTAGTCCTGAGTTGCTGGCACATGGGAACTGAACTGGAGAGTGGCAGACGGGTCTCTCTGCCTTTCAAATAAAAACAGACATGCACAGTTTTAACAGTACTTTTTCTTTGACATTCCATCCTCATTTTACCAACAGTCATACTGAAGTAAGTGCTGGCACAGTTGGTCACTAGGTCCATTTGACCTTCAGACCTCTATGCTCTCCATGTGACTACTGGCTTGACCGCAGCAGGAAGAACTGGTTGCTGTCACTTTGCCTCTGAACTGGCTTCCTGCCTTGGGGTGAGAACCAATCCCCCTCTCCAGAATCCCAGGGATTGCCTCTTGCCATAGGAATCCTTGAATTTCCAGAGCTCTCTGCTACAGTTTAAGGTTAACCTTGGGAATGTTAGCAGAATGATAACGATAAATCTAATTATAACTCCTTAATCTTTATTAGAGGTCTCACCAATTATTCATTAACTTTTCACAGGAAAAAAAAAATCGGAAGACACAGTAGAGTGCTTGGAGGAGGAGCCACTCAGGCTGTTCTCCACAAGTGTCTGTTGGCTGTCTCGTGTCTACAGGGCACCACTGTCAGTACTGAAGACAGAACTCAAAATAGAGAAAAATGCCAGTCCTTGGGGAACTTACTTTTTAGTGGGAGGAGATAACATATTTTTAAAAGGTAAAATAAAATAAAGATACGTATGCAGGTGATTCATTGCTATGGAGAAAAACTTAACATGGGTAGTAAGCAGTATGGAGGTGTGATCTGGGCTGGAAAAATGGCTGTCAAGGGAAAGGAAGATCCAGAGAGCCTGCAGAAGCTCTTAGAAACTGTGCCTTAGGGAAATACCATGTGTAGATTTCAGAAAGTATTGTATCCACATAGACATTTTAAAATTTTGTTTTCCAGAAGTCTCTCAAATCTGTGGGTCACAGGCACCATGCTCCCTCGGCCTGTGTGTCCTGATACCATAGTTGAGAAAAGAATTGTACCTTTTTCCTAATTTAAACTGAGCATGTTTTTTCCTTATGAATACAGATAACAGATCAGTGGTGTTGCCATCACCCATGGTATGGTTGCTAGTAAAAATCAGATATTGTATATCACTTCAAAGTTTATGCAAATATCTTAAGATGCCATGATATTCATCACTACTTCAAAATTATGCTGCTACTACTTGTAGCTTGATGAATTTATAAGACATGTATATTAGCTACTTCACAATTTTAAGGTATTTTGAGAGTCAGCTTGTTTTTTTTTTTTTTTTTCAGTCCTCATGGAATTTCTCTTACAGACTTAAAGGTATTATACTCAGGAGTCTATAGGTAGTTCAAAGCTGTCCTTGGTATACAGGAAAGATGAAGGATCACGGTCCACAGACCTCATGAAGTAGGCAGGCTCTGAGTTAGAAGTGTGTGAAAGCAGGAGCTTGTCCTTCGTACCCTGCACCCGCGTGAGAGACCTGGAAGAAGCTCCTGGCTCCTGGCTTCAGACTGGCTCAGCTCTGGCCGTTGCAGCCACTTGGGGAGTAAATCATCGGACGGAAGATTTTCCTCTTTGTCTCTCCTCCTCTCTGTATATAAGACTTTGCAATAATCTTCCTCTCTGTCTCTCCTCTGTATATCTGCCTTTCCAATAAAAAATAATAAAAATAAATCTAAAAAAAAAAAAAAAGGGGCCCGGCGCGGTGGCGCAAGTGGTTAAGTCCTCGCCTTGCACGCCCGGGATCCCATATGGGCGCCGGTTCTAATCCCGGCAGCCCCGCTTCCCTTCCAGCTCCCTGCCCGTGGCCTGGGAAAGCAGTCGAGGACGGCCCAAAGCTTTGGGACCCTGCACCCGCGTGGGAGACCCGGAAGAGGCTCCTGGCTTCGGATCGGCATAGTATCGACCCGTTGCGCTCACTTGGGGAGTGAATCATCGGACGGAAGATCTTCCTCTCTGTCTCTCCTCTGTATATCTGCCTTTCCAATAAAAAATAATAAAAATAAATCTAAAAAAAAAAAAAAGACTTTGCAATAAAAATAAATAAATCTTAAAAAAAAAGAAGAAGAAAGCAGGAGCTTGTGAAGGGCCTTGTAGGGCATCATTAGGGATTTTGCTGGAGTGACATGGAGGGTTTGGAACACAAGAGTGGATTAGTACAGGTCACTTGGCAAGTGTCACTGAGAACAAAGGGGACAAGGCTGAGGCTGGACCATGTAAATAACAAACCAGGTGACAGGGCACATGGATTGGAACCACAGCAGCAGCAGTGGAAATGATGAGTTCTGTGTCTAAATTT